CATAGTGGTGTCTTTTTAAGTCCAGCCACAAATTCTCAGTTGTATTTAAACCATCTCTGTTCGTTTCAGCTCGTCCTGCTGCGTTCATTTTACCCTCCACCTTTACGACCCTTCCAGGACCTGCTGCCGAAACACATGATGATGCCGCCACCGTGCTTCGCAGTGGCAAGTTTGTGATGACAGCGTCTACCAAACTGTTGGCCAAAAAGTCTGATGATGCCACAGAATCTACTTCCTGTTGACTCTAAAGTCTCCCAGCATGCCTTCTGGAAGAGACTTAATGAGTTTTTTTTTTTCCAGCAGTGGCTTTTTTATCATTATTTAATTTTTAAATGTATTTATTTTAAATTTATTTTTATTATTTGTTTAATTTGTGTTTATTTTTCTTATGTCGCTTTAAAAGCAAAGGAAATATGTGCAGAAAAGGGTGCACAGTAGGAATGTCGTGTGCATATTTCCTTTGCTGCTAAGTGACATAAAACAAATAAAATAAATAGAAAAAATCCCCCCAAAATTAAAAATAACAAATAAATTAGAAAAATAAAACAACGAAAAAACCAAATTAAATTATTGTTTTTATTATTTTATTTATGTTTTTATATTTCTACTTTTATTAGCCTTTTTTATGGATTCATTTTTGACTAATATTGCCACGTTATGTATTTTTATATTTTATTTATTTCCACTTTTATTTTATTATTCTTTTATTGAATTATTTTAGTCATTTGTAATGTTGATGCAATTACCCTTCCTTTTTTTTTTTTTTTTTTTAAATTAACATTACATGTAGAAATCTGTTTTCACTTTGACATAAGTCTTTTTTTTAAAAAATGTTATTGAAAAACGAGCAAAACTAAATTGACCACGGTTTAGTGTTGAAAGGCAATAAAGGGAAGGAACCATCCAAGGGGGGGTGAACACTTCTTCTTGGCGCTGTACATGCGGACGTTCGATCNCACTTTCGATTTTGTAAAAATCCATAAATTAGCCGCATCATTGTTTAAGCCACAGTGATCAAAGTGTGTGAAAAAAGTAGCGGCTTTTAGTCCAGAAATTACATTAAATTACAGTGAAGCATTCATAAAACGCCTGGAACGTCTGTTTAGTGACATAAGGCAGTGATATTGGCACTAATCTAAAAACTAAATCAAAGTGCAGGTGGTTCGTCGACCTCAAGGAGGGGCATCCAAGGAAGTTACCAAATATGGTCACAGGGGTTAAATGCCCCTTGAATGCGTTACCTGCGGGGTGGGGCAGTAGGCTCCCATACCACCGGTGTTGGGTCCCAGGTCGCCGTCCTGCAGCCGCTTGTGATCCTGCGCCGGAGGCATCGGCGCCACCGAGTGGCCGTCGCTGAAGCACAGGCACTGCAAAGCCAGAACAAAGCGTCAGTCTGGTTGCAAAACAAACACTTTCAAGTGATCAAGTTGAAGAAGTTCCACTCACAGACACCTCCTCTCCCTCCAGAAGCTCCTCCACCACCACCTCCTCCCCCGCCGATCCAAAGGCCCGGTCCTGCAAAAAAAAAAGCACAAACACGGCAAACTGTTGACACTGAAGGATGTAATTACCTCTAGAAAAAAAAATTCCTTCAAGAGACGAATACATCAGGCAACTTCTGAGACTCCAACCAGATATTATTCTGCTGAATAACCAGGTGACGGAGCGCCCGAGGCTGAGAGCGGCTTTAAAGTCGGAGCGAGAGAAGAACAGCGTCTAAATGCCTCTGCAGCTACTGGTGCTTTTGGGAAGATCTAGGTTCACACGGGCGAGGTAGAGTAAAGTTTAGAAAAATTAATCACTGCCAAGAAAGTGGAATTCACAGCAGGATTCACTGATGGAACAAAACGCTATTTGTGAACAACCTGAAGAAGAGCTGCAGCCTGGATTTAAACCTCTGACAAGGCCTGACTGTAAAGACTTCCTCCAAAATGCACTGATTTTAACATAGCTAATAAAAAACTAATTCCAAGTTGCATGCCCTGTCGTCTATTATTCTGTTGCTTTTCCTGATGTTTTAGTTTTTCTTGTGGCATCACTTCAGCATCCAAATAATGAGGCAGGTTTTTACTTTAACACTACCAGCTGCAGCCTTGTCAGTCTGTGTTTGCTGCTGCGAAAACATTCTGCTGCAAAACAAGCGCTTTAAAAAAAACAACACCACCAAGGTTGGAGAGAGTGCAGCCAAACAGTGCAGGTGGTAAAAAAAAAAAAAAAAACACCCCAACAATCAAGTGAAAGATGCTAAAATGCTCCATAAAGCCGAGGGGAGCTGCAGAGTCGATAACAAGCCCTCAGAGTTCAGCACTATGGATGACCCCTTTCACATATACAGCGCCTATAAAATAAGAAAAACCATCCACCCCCCTACGGTGGAAGTTTCTGGCTCTTCGACGACCAGTCAAGGTCGATTTAATTTGAGCCTTTTTAAAAGAATGAACAAAAAAAACGCTGAAAACCTNGCAAAATGGTGTCATGTATAATCGTATCTGCAGCTTCTGACCAGGACGGATTTGGACTGATAAAAGTGTTTTCAGTCATTCATCTGATCGATCTGAACGTGACTCCATCGTTAGTTTATTGTGCTCGTTGTGGCCTCGACTCTGCTTGTTTCATCTGTGTCAAATCTAAATAGATTAGACGTTTAGATTGAAAGTTAAACCCATCCTCAACAACGCAGAATTTTTTATTTTGGTGTAAACGGTTTATTTTTGTGCAATTTTTAGGCAACACATAGAATAAAGTGACTTCAGCGCAGATCTAGTCATTTACCACGACAGAGCTGCACATCACAGACGAGTTGATCTGCTGATTATTTCTGTTTCTACAGATTCTGGTTCACTGTTGTCACTGAAAAACAAACAAACAATGACAATCTTTTCAAAGCTACTGGTGGCTTTTGTGGTTCAGAGGGTTAAGACTTTAAAAAACTGCTATACTGAGGTACTTTTTTTTTTTGTACGATTATGAGGAAAAATTGGCAGAAATCTCCTTGCATATAAAAAACAAAACATGGAGGTTTTAACTAGAACCTGGACAATTAGTTGATTAATACATGTTTCATCTATTATTTACAAAACTGTTTTCATGTGTACATTTCATTTCTGCTTCTACTTTTTACCCAGATGAGAAAAAAAACACAGAGGAAAATGTGCCACATAAACACTTCCATGGTGAGCAGGTGACACATGACTGAGTCTTTATTATTGTTACCACGGTGATCCACAAATCTGCAGCTTCAGAGTCCAGGTGACTAAAAACAAAAAGATTAAACAGGAAAGAGCGAGTGTGTACCTGTGATCTGGACTCCTTTCTTGTAGGAACCGGGGTATCCGGCGCTGGCCATCACCACAGTGACCGCAGAGCTGTCCTGGTGCCACACGGGGGCGCTGCAGGCCAGCTTACCGCTCATGGTGTTCAGGATCACCTCGTGCAGGTCGCTCTGCAGCAGCGGCAGCAGCACCTGGGGAGAGAGGAGCGGCATTCAACCCGACGTAGACGAGCTTCAGCGGCGGGAGGCGGGCGGGTGAACTCACCTGACACTCCGGGTCTCCGAAGCGACAGTTGAACTCCAGAACCTTGGGCCCCTGCTTGGTCAGCATCAGCCCAGCGTACAGCACACCTGGAGCACAAGAGTGGAAATATGTGGAGGATGAGCGCATTAATTACAGACTCTGGAACACTGAGAATAAAAAGAAAGGCAGCACTTGCCCACGTAAGGAGTCCCCTCCTCTCTCATCCCGTCCACCGTCTTCTGAAGAACCGACTCTCTGATCTGCTGCAGCAGCTCCGGACTCACCTGAGCAGCAGCGAGGAGCTCATTAGAGACAAACATCACGACGTGTTCATAGTTAAAACCCTGCTAAGCCTTTATAGGGCACTCCTGGAAATACTCGGAAAATTAAAATTTAAACCCGAGGGTGTTGTTG